TGCATTTCATGTTCAACTGGTTAGGTTTTCAGAGTCCCTTACCTTGGAAAGCTCCTTTTCCCATGAGCATGGATTTACTGTGGCAGTTGGGGCATCGACAACCTTCAAGGCTGGAATCCCAGTGATTGCGGAGAATGAAACTACAGTCACCCTGGATGTCAGTACAAGTCACACCTGGAGCTTTACAGAGACAGAAAGGAAACGGGTAGGTTTTCAGTGCTGGATATTCCTAAATGGAAATGCCCATTAGCTCAACATGCTCAATTAAGGCAAGATGGTTGCAGTGAGGTGTACAGAACATGTAGTTCTATATTCAGAATATAGACTTGCATTTTGCATCCCCTTCAAGCTATTCATCTAGCAGCATCCAAATAGATTGGGGGACTCTCGGGCAACTTCACTGAATACTTAACACTTGAGTTTACACCTTCCTTTTCTTCACATGACAACTCAAATAGAAGAGATTGAGAATTAAGCTAATTTATGGTTTTGCTTGAGTGCCCACTATCCAACTTCAAAATGAACATTCAAGAGTATCGTCTGAGTAGTTACAAAAGGCTGGTAGAATGCATTCGGCCCCTGGTAATTTCTCTTCAAGATGCTTAAAGAGGAACTGTAACCATTTCTTAAGACTTTGCCTCTGTCACTATTGGTCTTCCTGAAGCATGTTAACAGCGGAGTGAAATATTCAGTTACTTTGGTTCTGTGTTTTCTACATATTCCCTCTTCTCTCTAAGGTATCTCCTCTGCTTTTTGTAGTACTGGAAAATGCCTTTTCTGTGGTGATCGCTAACCTGGCCAGGAAAACTACAGTATATCTATTGTACCACAGGTTTTGCACTTCCTACTTGGGGCGGGGAAGGTGTCTGAAATACTCCTAAAAATGTTGACTCTGTAATTTGAGTCAAATCCTTAAAGAAAATCCCTTTATAAGCAGGGACTAGTTCCTGCTCATGTACATAAGCTTGTGGGAATCAAGAATGGTTGGATTATTATTCACAATACCCTGTTCTGCCTGCAGTTCTAATTGCAGCTCAAACTTCATGCCTGGGTAGCTTGCTCCAGAAACCGCTTGGTAACTTCCCAAACTCCCATGTACATGGATAATAGGGGCAGAGGGGAAGAATAGCCCTGTAGTTGTAGAAATCAAATATTCTTCCCTTACAATTAAATCTATCCCCCCCCCCCCCCCCCCCCCAGCTTCTTTCTAATTGTACTTCCAAAAGTGAACATGCCAGGTGTTGATTTGCTGTTTTGTCTCCTGAAGGTTGTTGAGAGCTCTACCTTGAGCAGCACTGTGCCCCCTGGGAAGGCAGTGAGGTTCAAGGCTGTTGTCCAGAAGGGAACACTGGATGTTCCTTACAAAGCAAAGGTGACCACCATCTTTGGATACGAGACGGTTATTATTGGAAGATGGCTTGGAGCTTCAGTGTCCAGAGTAGGGATAAAGGAAGAAATCCTTGACCTCAAAAAGTAGCCATAGATCTGGCAAAGACCTGTATGAAGCATATTATTCAAT